CGTCATCAGCGTCAGCATCATAATCCACACCAGCATCATCATCATCATCATCATCATCAGCATCAGCATCGCCATCGTCATCGGCATCATCATCATCAGCATCCTCACCATCATAATCATCAGCATCATGGTGACCATGATAAGCATCGGCAGCACCCGCATCAGCATCATCCTCCTCCGCCGCATCCTCCGCATCCTCCTCAGAATCCTCACATTCATCATCAGCAGCATCCTCAGCATCATCATCAGCAGCATCAGCAACATCAGCAGCAGCATCATCAGCAACATCAGCATCATCAGCATCATCAGCATCAGCGTCAGCATCAGCATCAGTATCATCATCAGCAGCATCATCATCACCACCATCGGCATCATCAGCAGCAGAATCAGTCGCATCATGACAAGCATCATCCTCATCATCGTCATCAGCATCATCGTCAGCATCCTCATCATCAAGCATCATCATCGTCGCCATCATCGTCATCATCAGCATCATAGGCATCATCAGCATCATGCTCATCATCATCATCAGCAGCAGCATCATCAGCATCATCATCGTCAGCCTCATCCCCATCCTCATCATCAGCAGCAGCATCATCAGCATCATCAGCAGCATCAGCATCTGCATCATCATCGTCAGCATCATCAGCATCAGCACCATCATCAGCATCATCAACCTCATCATCATCCTCATCAGCAGCAGCATCAGCATTAGCATCAGCATCGTCATCATCATTATCATTAGCATCATCATCAGCATCATCATCAGCAGCATCATCAGCATCATCATCAGCATCATCATTAGCATCAACATCATAGTCAGCATCATCATCAGCAGCAGCATCATTATCGTCAGCATCATCAGCAGCAGCAGCATCGTCATCAGCATCATCATGAGCAGCATCATCATCATCTTCCTCCTCCTCGTCATCCTCATCCGCCTTCTCCTCCTCCTCCTCCGCCTCCTCCGCCTCCTCCTCCTCCTCATTATCATCCTCCTCCTCGTCCCTCTGTTCGCCATCATCCTCACACTCGTTGAATTATTCATCCTACACCACCCCAGGACTACTTCAAATGTTCCTAGATAAACTCAAGACAGCCGAGGTATAAGATGTTACGGCGCTCTGACTGGTACTACGACCGTCAACGTACACTGTACCTGTAACGCTGCTCGACGCATCCCATCGCCACTCGAAACATCACAGTCGCGCGAACTGGGCTAGCACGGTGGTGGGACTTGCCGCAGGCAGCTGGATATGCCTAACGTGCTGAAGCGGAAACGCCACGTCTGCTGATGCAGGAGTACCCGACAGTCGGAAGACGTACGTGAAATATGAAGCAGGAAGGCTAATAAAGAAGATTGGGTTCGGGCCCGCCCAGAGAATAGCAATTACCCCAGTGCGACCCTACCTAGAAGTTGGAGCCCCTAGGAAAGCAGCATTAGTTGCTATGCTATGCTATGCTGTGCTGTGCTATGCCATGCTATGCTGCACTACGCTGTGCTATGCTATGCTATGCTATGCTGCGCTGTGCTATGCTATGCTATGCTAAGCTATGATATGTCATGCTGCGCTGTGCTATGCTAAGCTATGATATGCTATGATATGATATGATATGATATGATTTGATATGTTATGGTATGCCAAGCTGCGCGATGCTATGCTGTGATATGTTATGATATGCTATGCTATGCTGCGCTATGCTATGATATGCTATGGCATGATTGGCTATGTTATGCTATGCTATGCTATGCTATGATCATGCAGCGCTGCGCTATGCTAAGCTAAGCTAACCCCCTAGGCAGAGCCTGGGTAGCTTCATCTTAGCTGAAGCTATCATGAAGCTTAGCTCTGCTTAGCTTAGCTTCATCTTAGATGGAATCAGCTAAGCTAAGATGAGATAAGCAACGCTGAGCTCAGGGAACGTCACTGGGGGAACTGCGGGGCGGATGCGGGGGGAACCGCCCGGGGCGCTTTACACTACCAGGCCCTTTAAGCTCAGCGAGTAAGAACCCTTCTAGCTAGGCAGAGCCTAGGTAGGGAAAAAACTGCAAAAAAGCATCGACACCTGAAGTAAAATGGTGCTTGAAGTGGATTGAGGTCTGGGAATCCAACAATACCTCCTTTCAACGAGCGCTCCGCTGGGCGGAAGCTGTACGGAAATGTCTGGAAAAGGGCAGACACCGAAGCGGGAGCACCACTCTGGCTGCTGCAGTGTTGGGCCGGCGCGGCGGCGAGAGCGGCGCTCAAAGAGGCGGAGAGCCTTTCTGGAAATCTCTGCACGTTGTCAGCGTCGTCGTCGACTTCGTCCTTCAGGGTCGGCGGCACCGGCCGTAAGGCCTTCACAACCTCTGCACGTTGCAAGCGATGCAACGGGAGATCCTTTGTTTCGATTGGACACTGGAGAGAAAAACAGGCTGACACGTGAGAAGCAAATTGAGAACACCATGTGTTGACAACCCCGCGTGTGAAAAAGACCATCTGCGGGATGGGCGGGAAGAAATGCATGCCAGCATCAGGGACAGGAGAGGAGAGACGTCCGCCCGCCCCCCGTCACGGGGGGCACAAGAGGCCGAGAGGCATCCAGCGGGACTGCTGCCTTGTGCTCCCCGTGATGTCTTTCGTGCCTTGGCTCTGGCCTCTCCCGTTCCGCCTCCACACTTCTGACTGCCAGGGGGGCCGACGCGCCAACAGAAACTCTCACTGGGGAGGGGCTCCTGTGCCGAGCTGCTGTAAACTTAGGTCGGGCACGTCCCCCTACAAGCGGATGCTGAAGGAAAAATGGAACATAGTCAAAACAGATTCAAACACATTGAAGGGAAATAAAACATATTCAAAAGAAAATCTGAAAATAGTTGAAAAATCGCCACAAAACTATGTGTAATTATATTTGAATATTCCTCTCATGGAGACGCCACCGCGCGGCCAGGAGGGCCCGAGATGCCTCGAAGACGGGCCTGCTCAGGAGGCTCCGAAGAGGCCCGTAGAGAGCCCAAGACGGCCAGAGATTGCCTCAAGGTACCTCCAAGGTGGCTTCCAAACGGCCAAAAAGCGGGGATGGACAGAACCCCCTGTAGCAAAACGTGGTTTAGTGAAAACGACTTCGGGCCCAAACCTGGCGGGCGCAAGCCTGGAAAATAACGGCCGCGGCGCCCTCTCGAGAACCGAAAACGGACAATGCTTTAATCGGCGTGCGAGGGTGGGGCTCCTGCCCACCCCCGAAGAGAAGCCCCCAAGACATCCTGAGAGGGCTCAAGGAGCACCCCCGAGAAGCCCTCCAGCAGCCACAAGCATCGATCTGCTTTGCGCTCTTGGAAAGTGTTCGCAGCATGCCCTCTTCGGTCTTCTGGCAGCCCGACTCAGGCCACGATGCCTAAGATGGTCCCAAGACGAGCCAAGAGGCCCCCCAGGGAAACACACGAGGACCCCAAGAGGAAGACGAGGAGGAGGAGAAGGAGAAGGAGAAGGAGAAGGAGAAGGAGAAGGAGAAGGAGAAGGAGAATAAGAGAAAGGAAGAGACGGATGAGGAGGAGGCGGAGGAGCAAGAGGAGAAGCGAGAGGAGGAAGAGGAAGAGGGCATGGGAGCGAAAGTGGGAGAGGAGGACAAAGAGAAATCGAGGCAGAGGGAGAGGGAGAGGAGAAAGGCGAGGTGAGGAGGAAAAGGAGGAGGGGGAGGGGGAACGTGCGGTCGAATGCCCGGACTTTACGCGCTCCGGACGCGCAGTCGGCGAAGCGATGTGAATTCACACGATGGCTCAGCCTGGGGGGCCAGCGGCTGAGAACGCAATCCTTGAGTCATCCAAATGTGAGGTTGCTGAGGGCTAGCTCCCGTGTGAGTGAGCCCCCATCTGCACATGCCCGAATCCATCTTGCACCTACGGATCTGTGATCAGAGAACCTTGTCTTGAGACATTCAGCACCTGGATTGGGCCACGCTTGCGCGCCTCGCAGGCTCGGGAGCCCAGCATAGCGCGACCTCGCCACTCGCTCTATCCTGGACCGCGCGTATACAAGAAGAGCACTGTCCCGGTCGGAGCTCCTGGCTTTTCGTTGCCCCGGCCGCCATGATGGCGTTCTGGATCGACAGCTCGTCGCTGGGCAGACCCTCGAGGGCCCACTCGCCGATAGTGCCTCGGAGCGCGCGCAAAAAAAAAAAAAAAAAAAAAAAATGCGCGGCGTCGGGCACCGACGCAGTGCAGCCCGAAGCGACGGCTGCCTGCCAGTCTCTGGCTCTTCGCACCGCAGCGCCCCCCTCCTTCCTATGCCCCCTCCCCCATCCCTTCTCTCTTCCTCCACCCCCTTCCCCTGCCTCCTCCTTCTCCTCCTCCTCCTCCTCCCTCCTCCTCCTCCTCCTCCTCCTCCCCTTCCTCCTCCGCCTCCTCCTCCTCCGCCTCCTCCTCCTCCGCCTCCTCCTCCTCCTGTGCGTGCTCGAGCTTCCGAGGTGGCGCTGGGACGAGGGCCAGGTCGAGTGGCTCGGCCCGCTCACCGTCGTTGCAGCTCGCAGCGGCCCCCAAAGCCGACGCGGCCACTCGGGGCCAGCACGCACTCCTCCCCCGCCCTCCCCCCCGCCTGCCGCGCCAGGTCTGCCCTGGCGCGCCCCGCGTCCACGAGGCAGCGCTAGGAGACCCTCAGGGTCTCTGGCCCCCAAGCGACCCCCCCCCCAGATGATTTCAAAAGCGCTGCTTCTGTCTCGCTCTCAAGATCGGCATTCGTTGCCATTTCGGAGTCCGTCGTCCTCCGTTTGAAGAGTCTTGCCGTGCCGTCTATCTCGGCGGGCTGCCTTCGTGCTGGTACCGGCGCTGCCCACGAGCGAGCCGCACCAGGAGAGGTTCAGCAGGTTTCGTGGCAAGCTCCACGCGTCGATGCCGCCCCTCCCAGGGGTTCTGGAGATGCTCGCGCTAGCCCTCGGCCTCCACCTGACCATGCCCATGAGTCCCCCTGCAAAGACAACGACACGAACCAGGGTGCTCCGCACGCTGCACGCGAGTCAGCACGCTCTGACCAGGTCGGTCGGTACTTTGCGGGGGGGGGCGCCAGATCCCTGCCAGGCTTCGCGTGGACGGACCCTCTCTCGCGCTACTCAGCCTCAGTCTGCTACCCAGTCTAGCGCCTCTGGACCAGAAAACAAACGGCACCACCCCACCTACGGCCCCACGGGGCTTAGCGTATACCAGGAAATCTGGCGTGGGCTTTTGCGTGGTATACGCTACGGCGCCCGATGGGCCGTAGCGCAACATGGAGGGCCGTAGGTGGGGTGGTGTCGTTTGTTGTTGGGTCGAGCCTGAGCGCCTCTCCCAGCAGCCATCCTGTCGAGCAGGCGCATGCCGCTGCAACTTCCTGCCCAGAGTGCAGCTTCGAGCCAGGCGCCACAACAGACGGCGCTCCTACGGGCACAGCAGCAGGCAGCGGAAGACATCAGCCAACCGCCAGCAGCTCCTGGACGGCGCGCGGCCTCGCTCGACTGGCAGAGGCCTCGGGACGCCCGCCGCGCAGCTCGCGGGGCGCACAGCCGCTTGTCGTGGCGGCCTCCGCTCTTCCCCGCTCCTCCGCACACTCGGTCACTGCACTCGCGCAGGGCTTCTGCCGAAGCTGGGGGGAGGGCCAGCGATCCATTACGGCGAGGCGAACCTGCGTTTTTCGAACGTCTGCGAGTGGACACTTTGCGAGTAGTGGAACGCGCTCAGTGACACCTGCACCCTGGGAGCCGAAGAGAGCAGAGGAGGGCGAAGAAGGGCCCGGGCCACCACGGTGAGGGGCGCGGCCCCTGCGCCCCAGGCGCCGACGCGGTGAAGGGTACGCACCCCTGCACCTCAGGAGTCGGGGAGGTCGTCCAGGTGCTGCCTATGCTTCTCGCCTGCTTGGCCCCCACGGCCCAGCCTGTTTATCACGGGACTTGTCTCCAAGGCTAATGTTTGTAGGCCGCGCAGGATTCGGCGTTATGACTCATCTTCGTTTGATGGGTTTCTCACGCCGCTTGATCGCCTCTCTCTGACAGTGTTGAGCTCTGCAACGTAAAGCCCTAACAGCAGACAAGTCTGCCACCTCCGTCTTCCCCCGTTCCACTTCAGAACGCCGACCCGAGGCCCTACATCGAGACCGCGGACCGCGCCAATCGTGCTGGGTAAGCGTGGCTCCGCAGCATGCTCCGGGCGCTGACGACGGCGAGTCGCGTTCAGGATGGAAAGTGCCGCTTCGTGTTCCTTGCCTCCCTTCCACCCCTCCGCTCCATCCATATCCCCCCCCCGACAATCCACTCCCCTTCCCTTGCTCCCTCCCGCCCCTCCTCCCTCTCTCCCACATCCCTCTCTTCCTCCTCCTCCTCCTCCTCCTCCTCCTCCTCCTCCTCCTCCTCCTCCTCCTCCTCCTCCTCCTCCTCCTCCTCCTCTTCCTCCTCCAGGAGGCATGGGAGGAGACGTGAAGATGAACCGAGCCCCGAGGAACAACATGAGCCGCCAGTTGGGCGGTGGCAAGCGTCCTGGAGGCAAGAAGTGATTCTGAGTCCCTGCGGCCACGCCCCCGTGCTGGACCTACAGTGTGCCAGGCCATCAACCTGCTGCCCGCCGCCGTCTCACCGCCGCCGCTCCCTTACTTGTGCAGTGATGCAGGCAGCAGCAGCAGAGTGCAGAATTTGTCTCTAGGTGTTGCAGGTAGCAGCATGGTTGCCGAATGGTGATTTGACGAAGGGGGCGTGTTGCAACGTCTATCGTGCCCCAGCCCGAGCCAGTGTTTTCAGAGCTTCGGAAGAGGGTCTTGAAGGGATTGAGAACTAAGAACTGAACTCCTCTTCCTCCGCCTCCTCCTTCTCCTCCTTCTCCTCCTCCTCTGTCTCCTCCTCCTCCTCCTCCTCCCCTTCCTCCTCCGCCTCCTCCTCCTCCGCCTCCTCCTCCTTCTCCTCTTCCTCGTCCTCCTCCCCGTCCCCTCCTCACCCTCTGTTCCTGCTCTTGCTGCTGCTGCTGCTGGTCCTCCTCCTCCTCCTCCTCTTCCTCCTCCTCATCATCCTCATCATCCTCGTTATGCCCCTCCTCCTTCGACAGCGTAAGATCCAGCGTAATCCTCAGCGTTATCCTTCGTTCCTTCGTCCTCATCTTCACAACCAGCATCGGTACCAATCATCTACGTCTCATTCCTCCAGCTGAAAGTACTGGTCAACTTCCCCCACGCGGTTCCAACATGCCGCCCAAAATTTATCATGCAGCCTGCGTCAACAAGGAAGCCGACCTGCTCGATCTTGTCATGCGCCGGCACTTTCGTCTTCTTCGTATCCGCCATGAAGCCTACAGCACGTGCACGAGAGCTGCAACGAATGAAGTACAAGCAAGGGGGATGGACGATGAGGATGCAGAAGAGGATACATGGAGAGATGAGGATGAAGACAAGGATGCTCAGGATGAAAACCGTTCTCAACATTGACAGGAACTGCGTGAGATCGACGAGCAGGTCAAGAACGTGTGGACCCTCTCGTGTGAGGGAGCCTAAAAAGAAGAGTAAATAAAGCAGGCGCATCTTGGGTAACCAATGCGCCCGAAACCTCTCAAAAGCCCCGACTGACACACCAGACGCTTCTACAGACGCCCCGAAAAAGGCGCACGAGAGGAGAGGGCTCCCTGGAAGCTCACAAGAGGCGCCCCTGCACGGTTCCCGCCGTGGGAGGGAGCTCCAGCTGCAACGCCCAAAAGCACGTCCTTCTACTGTGTCCGCTTGAAGTGCGCACAGCCTCGCACGAATTGTAAGTTAAAGGAACCTCCAAGGCACGTCCTGGACACTCTCGTGGTGCCATCTTGAGCCGCCTCTTGGCATCCACAGGCGGCGCATAGACCGAGGTTCCCGACCGAAGACACAAACATTGACAAACTGACGGCTTCCAATGATTCCGAGCGGAGCCCAAACACATGATGACACAAAAAACATGTAACGTTCGGTGGGTCGCATTTATGTTGGGGGATGTATCAAGCGAACCCCATGCCTTATAACAGAAGTGTTGAAACACCATTGGTTGTTCAATGAACATGTGTCTTGGACAATCTAGCGGCCATCCCAAATCATGACCAAAACGACATCGGAAAGCAGATCTTGCAAGGTCATTGTTTTGGGGATGTCTACAGCGAAAGCCCCATTGCCAATACCCAAAAACATAGCCGACTTGAAACCGAAAAACATGTTCTGCAAACGTCTGCAGCGAAAACCTGATTGTTTTACAAACGACGACGGAAACACCCCCTCCAACACCGGGTCACTGGGCGCGAAGAGATTCTTACACATACCCACAAAAAGGCGCAAGAGAAAACTTCTCAGAATTCCGAAATGCGCCCCTACAACGCTCCCGCATTGCAGGAGGGTTCAACACACCCCAGAGGGCAAGTCCTTACCAAGTATCGGCTTCAATTCGGCACACCCTTCACGCGAATCGTAACCGAAAGGAAAATCCAAGGCAGGGCTCTCTCGTGGTGCAAAAGCGGGCCGCCTTTGGACATCCGGAAGCGATGCTGGGAACGCAGGTAGCGGAGGACGGCGACGACGACGACTGAGGAGCGGAGAAAAAGGCCGAAAAAAAGAAACAACGAAGAAGAGGAACAGCAATACGGAACGATAGCGAGGATGATAGCGAAAAGGAATCCCGATACGCTGCACCATACCGAAGCCAAGGAGCATGAAAACAAAATACGAATGTCGTAAATGCATTAGACATTGTGTGAGGTTTGTATACAGCGAAATGCTTGCATGTTGGCCCTGAAAGACGGTGATAGTCTAAGAAGATATCACCATTTGTTCGAACGGCTGCCAGAATGATCCCAAGACGCCCCGCGAGGCTGTCGCCGTGAGAAAAATCCCAAAGTGCAACCCCCAGAAGATGTTATTCGAGTGTGTCCACTTCAACCTGGCACACCCTCCACACGGACCGTAACTAAAAAAGAACTCGAACAAGCTCCACGTGATGCACTTCTGGGCCGCCTCAGAACATCCACAAAGATTCCGAAACCGAGATTTGAAAAACAGCCTTCGTCGGATCTCCGACTGAAGAATCATTTACATGCATATATGAAATTATACCTGAAATCTTTAAGACGCACCACAAAAACGAATGAAGCCGCGAGATTTGGAGAAGAAAAAAAAACGCTTCACAGGCCAACATCGTCTACATATTGTCAGTGACAAACCGTCCCTTGGCATGTGCTGTAAAGTGTATCAGGACATGGCCAATCCTATTTGGCAAAGATCTGGAAACACTGTTGGTTGCTTAGGGGTATTGCATGTTGGAGGTCTCGGGGCGGCCTCATCAGCAAAACCAACAATACGCAAATATGTGTTCAACGTTCCCCTGGCTCGATGATGTTTGCAACAAGGAATTCGTCACTGTTGAATTGAGGATGTGCGTATACACGAATATGGTTATAATTGTCCGAACGGTGTTTGCATGTGCGACCTCATATTTGGCTTAACCATCTCGGGGTGTTTTTGCGGGCGGTGCCGCCGGTCGCCGCCGTCGTTCTCGCCACCGCCGTCGCCGCCGCTCGGGGCGAGTGGCGGTTTTTGCACTGGGCGCCGCCCGTCGCCGACGTCGCCGCCGTCGCCGTCGCATATATATTCCTGTCTTCAATAGTCCTTACCCCCAGGATTATCGGCCCCCCTTTTCGTGTTGCAATGTACATACGAATTTGCCCAATCATCCATCCGAAATATGAATTCTCACCATCCCAAACAGGGCCTGTATCCGCCCCCCCCGCCATCCGCTGCAAAAAACTGCGATGCGCGCACACTCGAGCACATTTCAAGAATCCCTTGCTGAAAACGGGACGAAGTACACCCGCGCGCGCCGTCGCGCGCGCATGCCGAAATCCGTGTAGAGCTTGCGTTGCGATTTCAAAACAGAGTGTCCACAAAACATATAAGAAGCACATGGTTTCGCAACATCAGTTCTCAAACAAACTCGCGCTTGCGCCCTTGCGAAATCTTACGAAATTCCTCGGTGGTTCAACATATCCATTGAACGTGTGGAAAAAAAGAGGAAGAATAATAAAAAAGGCCTCTCGCGCCGCATGCCGAAATCACTCGCACGCCCTTGCGCGCGTGCTGGGGGGGGCACGACCCGTGTCAAATAATACCATGCGGGCCACTCGTGCGCGTCGGCCGCGCGCATGTCGAATTCTTCCCAAAACCTTCATCACCGACGCGAGAACGCCGTCACCGTCGTCGGCGCGATCCGCATCTGTGCCGTCTCTGGCCACGCCGTCGTCGTTGTCAACATCGTCACCATCATCGTTATTATCATCATCGCGTCTACCGTTGTCGATGTTGCCATGATTCTGCGCCCGCCCACGTCGCCGATTCGCACTACAATGCCCGCTAGGATGCGCCCGGCGGTCAGCGCCACCGCGGCCGCGTCGGTCGCGCCAAACTAGCTGGCCGCTGCGCGCGCGATTGGGTTGGAGCGGCCGCAGAGATGGACCTGCCAACGCCAAGCACGCATCGCAATCGCCACCGCATGGGTTTTGCAAACCAAGTTGCGGGTGGGTGGGTGGGAGGTGCAAGAGCATGGGGGGTGGTCAAGCGCGGCGCAGGGTAGCCAATTCTCCTTTCTTCAAACTCTACCCCCCCGGGAATTATCGGTACACTTTTTCGTATTGCAATTTACATATGATTCTGCACACTCGTCCATCCTAGATATGAACTCATACTATTCCATCCAAGCCAATATCGCCCCCCCCCACCATCCCCGGCAAAAAACACTATGCGCGCACACTCGGTTATCAAAAAATTAAGAGTTTTCAGAAATCCTTTGCAAAAACGGGCACGAAATGCACACGCGCGCGTCGTCGCGCGCGCATGCCGGAATCCTTCAAAAACCTACGGTTTCGGAAGGATTTCACAATCGAGTTTCCAAGAAACATACAAAAACATAAGGTTTCGCAACACTGGTTTTCTAAAAAGCTTACGCGTGCGCTCTTGCGAAATCTTATCAAAAACCATAGGATATCCCAGATGTTCAAGACAACAAATACTACCATACGGGCTTCGCGCGCGCGTATGTCGAAATTTGTCGAACGCCCTTTGCGCGCGTGCCGTCGCGAGAATCCGCTGCAAAAACGGGACGAGATGCAGACGCGCGAGTCGTCGCGCGCGCATGCCCAAATCCTTCAAAACCCTTGGGTTTCGGAGAAAATTCAAAATCGTGTGCCCAAAAAAATACAAAAGCACAAGGTTTTGCAGCACGGATGTTCAACAAAAGCGTGCGCGCGCGCTCTTGCGTCGTCGCGGTCGTCCTCGTCGCCGTCCTCCCTCCTCCCTCGTCGTCGTCATCGTCGTCTCCGTCGTCGTCCTCTGTCTTTCCTCGTCATCGTCGTCGTCGTCCTCTTTGGCGTCGTGGTCGTTTCCGTCGTCGTTGTCGCCGTGGTCGTCGTTCCTCCTCCTCCCTCGTCGTCGTCGTCGTCCGTCGTCGGCGTCTCGTCGTCGTCCTTCCTATTTCGTCGCCGTCGTCGTCGTCGTCGAAGTCGTCGTCTTCCCTGCTCCCCCGTTGTTGTGGTCGTCGGCGTCGCTAACCTCCCTCCTTTTTCGTCGTTCGCGTCGTCGCCGTCCTCCCTCCTCCCTCGTCGTTGTCGTCGTTGTCGCCGTCGTCGTCCTCCCTCCTCCCTCGTCGTCGTCTTCGTCGGCGACGTCGTCGTCGTCGGCGTCGGCGTCGTCGTCTTCGTCGTCGTCGGCGTCGGCGTCGTCGTCATCGCCGCCGTCGTCGTCGTCGGCGTCGTCGACGCCGTCGTCGTCGTCGGCGTCGTCGTCGGCGCCGTCGTCGTCGTCGTCGTCGGCGTCGGCGTCGGCGTCGTCGTCGTCGTCGTCGGTGTCGTCATCGTCGAAGTCGTCGTTGTCGTCGTTGATGTCGTCGGAAGCGTCGTCGGTGTCGTCGTAGTCGTCGTCGACGGCGTCGTCGTCGTCGACGTCGCCGTCGTCGTCGGCGTCGGCGTCGTTGCCAAGAGCCATTTGGCACCTACCGTCACGGTCTTAAGAGGTTTTGCAAACCAAGTTGCGGGTGGGTGGAGGTGTCAAATCATGGCAAAAAATCAATTCCACCACTCAGACTCTCCTTTCTAACAAGAGAATAAACTCGACCCCCCCCCCCATTGCAATTAGCACGCGATCTTGCCCCATCGCCCATCCTAAATATGAGCTCATACCATCCCAACCGAGCCAGCATCCCCCCCGCCATCCTGCGCTAAAAAATTCTACGCGCGCACACTCGCCCATCAAAAACCACCAGTTGCCAAAATTCCGCTGTCAACCAAAAAAA